ACCTTCCGTGTCTTGGCAAAATAATCGAGGTCTGGCTGACGATCTGGAAAATTATGTTAAGCGTCTCCAAAATGTCGTTTCGACTCCCCTTCCATGTCGTACGAATTGTACCATCCATACATTCATCTACATCCCATTGAAGAGGAGGTGAAACTCCGTCGGAATGCCCGAGTACGTCGTCGTGGATTGGTCTTTTTTAGCTGATGTTTCACGGCTCACAGCTGATACGCGAACGGAGATAGGGAGACTCGCGAAGGCACCGGTAACAGCCAGCTGAGTGGCGCCAGCCATCAGCTGTTGGTGACTCACGCGACCGAGAGCGGCCGAGTGAGCGAACAGCCAGAGCAGCAGCAGCACACGCCTTCCCACCGAGCGACCGACCAACAGACAGACGTGCAGTCGTACAGAGAGAGAGAGAGAGAGAGACAGACGGATAACGGTTACGGCTGTGCGCGACGGAAACACACTCTAGCGTTTACCCAATACCCTCAGCTATCTAGCATACTCTCCGTGGAACGAGATATATACAGGCTCAGACAGGTCTCCTGCCTTTCTATAGAAGCTACTCGTACTCCGTCGTTTCTACGCTCTTGGTGCTGCGGAGAAGGACTCGTGCGCCGGCAGTGTCAGCGTACCACTGCGCCGCAGACTGAGTTCCTCGTTCCTCCCTATATTTTCAATTGTTCGACGGGACTAAACTTTACAACGTCTGGCTCTTAGTAGCGCGTCGTAGCTGACGCATACGTCGAGTCCATGTAATTTAATTATATTTGAGGCCCAAGATCACAGCTTGCAGCGTCCCTAGAGACAGCTGGCTCTGTTGGACTAGGTTAGTTTCTCAGGGCAGTGGCGTGTGCACTCTATGCCGGGTACGTAAGTGTAACGCGAGGGTGCATCGCTGACTATGGGGGTCATTCGATGTAAAATAGGGAAAGCCATAGAGAGGAGGGTGTTGGACCAGGAGACAAGGTAGCAGGTAGTAACGTCGGGGTACTAGACCGTGCTAGATCTAATTACCAGGGTTATATTTACACCCGGTGCCTCCGAGCACGGAGCTAGAAGGGTGGATAGGTAGCAGCCGCCACCTACGGTGACCCACTTCGACGTGGGCCGATCCAGTCGAGCTCAGCGGGTATCCGAGGAACCTACTGACGTCACGGTATCCAACGAACCAACCAACCAGCCAGCTCGTCGCTCCCGCCGTATCACCAGCTGATCCGATATAACCACTCCGCCAACTCCACGTGGACCTTCGATGCTTCTTCTTCTCCTCCTACCCACGTGCTTCGGTATCACTCATCAGATACCTATCCTTCGCCTCGTTTACCCCATTTAATCTCTTCCACAGGTCCTACCCGTCTCTCTATGACACAACGCACGTATATACCATAGTACGTACACACCAGTCACATTCGGATGAATCAGTCCACCCGCCGGAACTGTTACGACCTTTGGACGATTCTCAATGGTTCATACACCCACACACCTACTGGATTACTTTATTTCCATTTTACGAGTCCTTTTATGGTATACGACTACGCCGAGCTCTCGCTTCCTCTCTCTCACTCTTATGCTTCGGCTCGTGGCATTTGCTCATCTTCCTTCTATGATCCGAGCTTCTGGTTTCTGGTCGGCTGGAATTTCGTCACGTGGTTTATTGACTCGTTCCCGTAAATTATATATATATATATATACACAGGCTAGTGCTTCCACGTTTTTATACCACAAGGCTATCCACGTGTCTGCGAATTCTTTAACCGCCGTCGTACCCAAACACCTACCGAGCGGCACGTTGGTGGAGGAGAATGTTTTGAACTGTCGACTGGAAGGTCACGGCCCTTTTTCCTAGCTGACTCACCATTACACTCCGGATACTTTTCCTCTTTGCTTTGTGTATATCAGAGGGACCGACGTTCTTTTTTCTTTTTTTTCCTTTAATACTGTTTTTACGTACAATCACTACGGTACGCATTGTACGTATTTATCGTTGGTAATAAGATCGGTGGTTACGTAGTCCACGAATGCGTCGTAAATCGTCCGAAGCGTCACAGTCGACGCGAACGTCTTAGGAACGAGATATGCGCATTTGATAACGAGATTGGTTCTTGTATAACGTTCAATGACAATAAACGTGTCCCGCGCATCGAGCCATCCTTGGCGCGTATAAACGCGGCTACTACGTAGTTTAAATTGGGCCGAACGCCGCCATTGCGTATAGCCGTAAACCAATTACCTTTTATTGCGCACCTACGCCCAAGGTTTCCCATCTGGTCCGTCGTGCCGGCGACTTTATACGTTCGGGCTCCTCGGTCGAATCGAATTCGGCACGCCACCGCGATTTCCCATTACGTGTATTGCGTCGGCTCTCCGGCCCGGCTGGCTTATTATGCATCGTAATTACGCCGGCGCGTATATACATAGGTATATAGATAGTAGGGTTAAAAGAGTTGGAGAAAAAAAAAAAAAAAAATTTTTTTTGTCAAATTTGATTGCTTCACAGGAAATTTTAGATGCGCGATACATTAGCCATGCTATCTTGGATTGTTACTGTTATCAGTGGCTTTTAGGTATCCCTATCGGATTGCAGGATGTAACAGCTGATCCTTAATCGGTGACGCGGCAGACCGCAGTATCGATTTTTACTATTGCCCAGTCGGCTACTGTTGGTTGTGCATATACTTGTACCTGTACTGTATGTCGTAGGTACTATAGGTAGATATGCGTATCCTCTGCAACATGCACGTGTATACGCAGTCAGGGCGCTATTTGGTTTAGCCCAAGTTCAATGGGATTGAAATTATTTACAAATTGACAGGAGTCGAAGATGATTCCAATGATATTGGAACAGACGGCTGATGACGTGGAAATTTTTTTTTTAACGAAATTTTCCGTGTTTTTTTTTTTTTTTTTTGAACAATTTTCGTAAATACGCAAAATTCATGCAAATTTCACACGTGCATCCGTAACACTGAGAAAGGCAAATGTGTTCGCTCGTACGGAAGAGAGCAGCCAGTTGCCAAGTTGCGTTTATCAGAGCGCAGAAACGTAAATAGAAATTGAAAAGTTACGTCTCCCGGGGCCGTCGGCCTCTCTTCGTCCGATCGTCTCGCTTATGAATGGAGCGTGTTATCGCCTTGTGAATCGTGCTTTACGTACTCTCTACGTACGAACGTACGTAGGTTGGTAGGTAGGTGGGTTATAGGTGGTTAGGTAGATATAGGTAGGTGTGCGCGCATACGTAATACGGAGGGACGAGGTTCATTGTTCGCGGAGAGCACGCGAACGGTGCACTGAAATGAAAAAGAAATTTGATTTTCATACCGCCCGCCGAGTGAGTGAGTGCTTGTGTTTTATGTCAGGTAACCCTTCATCTCTTGTCCCTTTTTACTTATTCCACATTTTCCCTGCGTTACGTGTGTTTTTTCTCTATCTCTCTCTCTCTCCCACTTATGCACTTCTCTTTTACGTGCATTTCTATGCGTGTCTATATTTCTCTTGTCTCTCTTGCGCTCTCGCATTTATACCCCCCCCTCTCTCTCTCTCTCTCTCTCTCTCTCTCTCTCTCTCTCTCTCTCACTCAGTCATTCTCCGTTCGTCCTCCGGTGCCCCTGGAGTTACGAGCGGGTTGAAGAGTCGCAAGGTGGAAGTCGAGCGTGCTTCACGTCCTGGTAGGTGAATCTGCATTGTTTCCCATTCCGACCTGGCAATCCGGCTGACATTAATACGTCGCTCAACTTCCGTTTACACATCGCACTGCGTCTCATCCCTGTCACGTGGATATCATCCAGATGCCTCAGACATTCCTCGTGTATTATCTCGAGTAACTTTTAACGCTGTCGCGATACTTATTTTTTTTATCACCGGGTACATCGTCACTGGGTATTTGGCGTACGGGGCTTTACAAGGGTAGGGATTAAATATTTGAAATTTTATTGTCCCGGCGGATCGTAACACGTCGGACGGGGGTTGCCTTATTGCTTCGGCGAAACGATCAGCATAATTCTTCTTACCTGCCAATAGTAGGAAGCCAATACGGAGTTTTGCGTTTGAGAGACTTGAGAATTTGGTGGTGACGTCACGAGGGTCTCCCACGGTGACAGTTATTGGCGTAAGCGAAGAATCGGACGGACGGGGGACCGGTTTTTTTTTTTTTTTTTCCGATTTCGTTACTTATTCCTTTTCGTCGGTACCCCTTTTGCCGGATTCGTGCATTTCCGTAACCTGTCGGCTGGGTCCGTAGTCGTGCGCGGTAGTTATCGGTGACGAACCGAGTACTCATTCACTCTTGTCGATAATTCTTTTAGCGACGCACTTCAGGGATCCGAAATTTTAGGTGGTACGACTATCGAATGCGATTTTTAGCAGTGCTAAGGGGGCCCTACTGGCTTTTGGCTAAATCGGCTGCTCCTGCGCCAATGACCCGACTGGAGTCTGTTACGCGGGATTTGTCATTTCGTAGGTACCCTGCTGCCCCATTAACGCGAAAGTTCGACGCTCGATAAGGTCTTGGCCCGACGAAACAAATATCCACTTGGCTGCTTTGAGGCTCCAATTCCAATTTCCTTAAAAGCGCCGCGCCAGAACAAAGCTACACGCAGGAGTCTTTGCTTCTCGGCGATCGCCGTTGGTTCCTTTGATCGTGTATATCCTGGCGTCGTATCCGCTCGTAAATGAAATTTTTCAAGGGCATTGCCCGTAACGCGGCTTTCAAAAACCATCGCGTCCCTCGCGGACTGACGTTGGCTCTTGGTGCCCGATCGCGCAGCGTCGGTCTTGCTGCGTCAGTGGGAAACTCCTTTCTTGCGCGTTCCTTCGGTCTCGTCAGTGGCAAAAATTGTGGGAAGGATCGCGGAGCAAGGCTAATTTTGTTTGGGACGGTGTACATGGGTCTTTCGAAGAGAAAAACAATTTATGACCTTGATATTTTGATTTTTCAATTGTATATTTCATAGCGATTATTTTTACTAAAATTTTCATTTTTTTTTTTTTTTTTTCCACAGCAGCAGCGAGACCGTCGACGAGAGCTCGGTGGCCACGAGCGTGGCGGTCGCCGAGATTGCGGAAACGCAGGAGCAGCAAACGCCGCAGCAACGGCAGAACGGCAGCGCGACCGGTTGCCGCACGGCCGGTCAAAACGCTCAGGGAATCACAGCGATCTCCATTAACGGCGACGGCACGATCGATCACGGCAGCAGCACGGGGGGCGTGGGCCGAGTTACGCCTCGCAGCCACATGGAGCAGGAGAAACGCATGCGGCGAGAAATCGCCAACAGCAACGAGCGACGACGTATGCAGAGCATCAATGCGGGTTTTCAATCGTTGAGAACGCTTCTGCCGCATCACGAGGGCGAAAAGTTATCTAAGGTATGTGGCTGGAGAAAAGTTATTTATTTATATTCAACAAGGTACATATACACATATGTAATGTCGCACCGGGTCCGTTCACGCAGTAAGACTCTCCATGGTACTGATATTCTTCAGTAAGACTTCTTGGGACTCGTATCTGCTTCGTCTTACTGTCTGCCACGTTGTAGCCCGTCTATGTTAACTGTCAGTCTATGCTTTACACGGACGGAGAAATTAACAGGTATTCCAGTCCACGGTTATGGCATAGGATGACACTTAAACAATTTTTCACGCTTCTCACTACAGCAATGGGTACCTAACGGTATCCCTTAGCCTACTCGTAGATAACGCTCCTGGTTCCTCCCCAGGTCCAATTACCATACGAGACCCCGATTCCTGTCTCGTGGCATATCGTTCGTAATTTTTCTTTCGTTCCGTAAGGGTGGTAGCACCGATACGACGGATTAACTCGCGGGCTGTTTGGTCTCCGGCCTCTCGCCTCTCACCTCTTAAATCTCTCGGGGAGGCGCCCTTCGCAGAATCGACGTCGGCTTTTTCAGCTGCGAAACTTTCAGCCTCTCTCCGAGAGGGGGAGATCTATCTCGCGTCTCGGATCTTGGACTTTGTCACACGCGCGCCCCTCTACACCCCCTCCTGTCATCCTCCCACTGAACCGCGTTGTCCGTCTTTCTCTTTGCTCTTGTACTTCTTACCTGCGTCACGATGAGAGACGCTTAAAGATTTTTCTCGCTTTCGCCTACCTTCTGCCTTTTCCTTGCCTCTGCTTTCGTTTTTCCTTGTTTTCGTGTCGGATCTCTTTTTCTTTCTTTTTTTTTTTTTCTTTCGATTGGTCGTTGCCACATTGAAGTTTGATCTGCGTTTTATTTTCGTGTCTCCCCTCCTGTCCCTCCCTCCCTCTCTTTGTCGCGGTATATCAAATCACACGTTGTCGCTAATATAGGAATGCACGAGAAACTTTTTTGCAGCGTGAACACGGCTTTCGGAACAGATTACTGTAACCGGGGGCGCAAAAATAGCCTGATAACGTAGCGGCCGTAATGGCACTGGCGACGACGGCGACCTGTTGGAAAAATGACTCCACCGACGATAATGCTCGCCCCGATGACCCATATTTTGTTGTCTGGCCGATTTCACGCGATGCAAAAATAATAAATATCGTGGCGCTTCGCGCACAGATAACCGACGACGGCCCTGGAAAAGTTAACCTCGTTCGCGTATGTTCGCTTTGCTGTCAGCCGCCTCGACTCTTCTAGGCTTTGTGTCCTGAGCGATAGCGACGAACGATCGCAGGGGAAGCGTCGTGCCCCTCGGCGTCCGGTAGTCATTCGAAAATACAGCAAACGCGCGAGTCCGTTATTAACGTTTCTCAGCGTTTTACTAACCATTGGTATCGAACGCTCGTCTCCTTATTTACATTTAGCCGAGTCAGGCCAATCGGAAAATACGTTTGGATCGTGTATCGCGCTACGGACCTGGTAAAGAACTTGAGATGGTTAAACGTCAGAGATAGGAATGAATTTTTGATTGGACCGTTGGTAAGAGGTATTTGGCATATATATATATATACACATATATACACACACGAAGAGAAGTAGACGCACGCGCGACTCCGACCGTAACCAAACAGGATGCCTGTGCCGTGAGCCCACACGTGGACCGGAAACGTCAACCTGCTTCTCTTTGGCAAGGTGAATTCGCCAATAAAATTTAATCGCTCTCATGCGAACGTACCGTTGCGCAACCATCTATGCTTTTTACAGTCGCACGAACAGTCGCCTCCCGTCAAACCAAAAATCGTGTCGCTTAATGGGGATCACGGCGGTCCGTGGACTTTGTGGCGAATCAGCTGCGCTTCGCTATTTTTAGAATATGAAAGTCTCGCCCGGTTATAAAACTCGCGCGTATACACGTACGGGATACAGGAGCCGCGTCACTGTATATACAATTATACACGCGATTTCCAGGTCTCTTATTTACTCGTGACAACGATATGAAAATATATATTTAAAAAAAAAAAAAAAAAATCGATTGCAAATCAAAAATCTTTTTTTTTTTTTATTATTATCGTCACTCGAGATCGTAAAATATGAATTTTTCGATTGGACAAAAAATTTAAATTATTCCCGCCATTTTTTTCGTTACAGTTTTGCCCGATCGTGGCGCCAAGCTTTAAAACTACCGGACATTCTTACGCGCCGCGTCCTCGTTCGCGCATGACAATCCACGTGTACGTACGACCCTAGCGGGGAGACCTTTACGCACCAGGTTCACGTAGATCGTGATAGCACTCGATCAGCTGTCAGTCCGTACCGGTAATTAGTAGTCACGCAACGTGCTCTCCGAGGTTCTTGTCCCGGCTGAGGTGTATATATATATGTTTCATATGTATATATATATACACACAAAGAGAACACGCGCACTTTCGTTCTGCGTCCCTTTAACGTTTCGCAACTCGTCTACCATAGGCGTCGATGCTGCCACTCTGACCGCCGTGAACGCAGTCATTGCTCCTCCTCTCGGTCGCTCACTATATCTATGTATAGAAATGAAAGGTCGTCGTCCAGCGCGTGTCTCGTGCGAAATCGTCGCCACTTGCGAAACTGCCCTCCTTCTCGGCTGCGTCTCTTATGCGATTTTACGTATAGCGAGAGACGCTCGTTTCTCCTCTTGTTCTCGCTCGCGAGTCCTGTTGCGCGCGGATTGACGTTTCGCACAATTTTAACGTTTACATTGTACGCGCACGGTCGGGTTCTTTTGAACTCACCGGGCACCGTGGCCTCATGGTATGTTTACCCGTTCGCCAATGACTACTCGGTGCCCATTACGTAGCCACGTTATACGCCGTGGCTATGTGTGTCGCGCCAGGACTCTTTCGTAACGCAATGTTTTGCGAACCAGCCTGGCCACATGCTTCTCGGTTCCCACACATTTTTCTTCTGTGGCTTGGATATTCTTTCTTTTTCCATCTTTTTTTTTTTGGTTTCTCTTCTTTCTCTCTCTCTCTCTTCTCGCTTTCCATCTACATATAGACATCTATCCTTGCGTTTCTCAGACTCTTCTTATCTCCCTCTCTCTCTCGCAGACTCCTCTCAGTTTCTCGGTCGTCTGGCTGGATGCTGCTTCGGACCCTCCCTCGCCTCAGCGTTACTTCGTCCCTGGTTCCTTCTTGGTATTCCCGTCATACGTGACTACTCCGAACGCATGACCGCCCCCGCCAGCCCGTCGCCCGCCGGCCGCTTCCGAAGGCCGTTGCGAATGATGAATTTCGCGAAGCCCTGGCCCACTGAGCATTTTTAAAGGCGGCTACGCGAATACAGTTTGGAATTCGTTTGGCGCGTCCGTAGGGTTTTTTTTTTTTTTTTTTTTTTTCGATTCGAAAATTTATATCTTTTTCCCGAAGCGACACTGTGGGTCTAAGACAAATTTTTTTTTTGTTTTGGTGAAATTGGCGATTTTTTTTCTCTTCCGAGCGACGAGCTTCGATTTACGCGAACAATTTCTATTAATTCATATTTCTGCGTGAATTGACGTAATTTCCTGTATTTATAAGACTACGCGCCTATCGCGCTTTATCGCCGTTACGTAAACGATTAAATAATTATTTCGTATCTTCGGATGTCTAAATTTACTGCGATCCCTCTAATTGAATGCTTGTCGTGAAGGTTTTTTTTTTTTTTTTTTTATATAAAGAAGCCGCGAAACGTCCATTGAATGCCGATAGCGATGACCGATCCGGATCGTCGAATAGCAGTGACAGAATTATGCGATATTTTTTTATACGCGACGAATTAACTCTGCGATATCGGCGACAGAATTTTTGATATGCAACTGAACTCTGATCACGGATCATATGCCAAAGAAATGCCGTGTGAATTATTTTTTTCTTTTTTTAAAAAAAAAACAACAACAACGCTCGCTCTGTCGTAATTTCTCGTTGATCTTTATTATCATTATTTTTATTTCCTTGGCACTCTCCTCCGCGCTAGTTTTAGACCTTCTTGCTCCAGCTGCACTCATTCCTCCTGATGTCTGTTGCTGACCGAAAAGAAAGCCCGGTTCACATGATCTTTCTCGCCTTCTCCTCGCCCGCGTTACATGCATCCGCGCGTCGGCCGCAGACGCCTCGACCCATTTTCATTAAGCGCTCGCCAGACAGAAATAAAAATAAACCAGTCCTCCCCGTAAGGCTCACTCGCTCGTTCGTCCCCCGCGCTATGCGTGTCGCCGACGCGTGGGATGACCAACGTGCACGTAGTCAATTTTTTTATTGCGCCCCAGCTCACCGCCGTGCCACCTACCTCTTGTGCCATATTTTCGAAAAATTTCACTCGGCCCCCGATCCAACTGATTTGCATTCCTAAATTAACCGGTGCTATGGATCGCACGACCCTTGTTAATACCATACTCTCCGCCCCTGGACAATAATCCGTCGTTAATTAAATCCCCATAGAGTCAGCGGACTTGAATTGCCCAAGGAGCGCGTCAAATTGCTGATTCAAATTTAAGTAAATCATTATCAGTAAGCATTTCTCGAACGTACGTAAACGACCGGGTGATACCGAAGGTGGACTCGATTTCAGTAAATTTGAATATCTACTCGACGCGGGACAAGGTATAACCATTGAAATTGGGAAAAAGTAAATGTCGATATATTTTGAGGGATTCAAAAAAACGCGCCGCTTCACGTTAAGTAAGCTGCCAATTCTTGCCACGTTCTCTTTGTGAGTTACGGCGCCCCATGTCACTCTCTGCCGCACCCCGTTAAGGTCGGGACGCCCGACGTCTTGATACGTGTCGGTCTGCAGACAAGCCGCCGGTAGCTTCTTCATCCGAGGTTAATCCGAACTTCGTTCTTGAATATTTTCGACGGGCTGTCAAAGAGAATGACGAAAAATAAGGAATGCGGATAGCAGGGCTGTCGAACGAGACGAAGGGCGCCAAGGCACCCCTTGTCACTCGGAACTAGATACGTTCCTGTTCAGTAAATATATCCACGA